AGAAGAAGAAGAAGAAGAAGAAGAAGAAGAAGAAGAAGAAGAAGAAGTGGTCATGGAGTTCGCACTTGTTCCTGTTGCAGGGGGTGTTCGGTTTCTGATTTTGTGAGTGTTTATAGTTTATGGATGGGGTGAAACAATCTGTTAAATCAAACATCCACAAAAATTGCCAAACAGCACGCGCCTCAATACTCCACTTGTTCAGATGCAGCATAGCCGACTTTTCACATATTTCAACACGCGTGGCTGTCCCGGGGAAAAACGCGAGGACTTCGGGACGGTTTCCAAGCACATCATCGAGATGAAGGCTGATGCTGATGTGGAGGCCATCCCTGCCAAGGTCGTCCGTGCACGCCCGGGTGCCAGTGCTGCTTCTCCCGCGCCGCGGCCAGCGCCAGCGGTGCCTGCGCCTGCGATGCCCGCGAGTGGGTCTCCTGGAAGGGCGGCAGCCAAAGATGAAGGAACAGGACTAGGACGGGCACTTTCTATGTCAACATTAACTTCGACATGTCTTGTAGCATATGGACATAAACATGTTTTACAAGATTCGGGACCCCCTCAACTTCTTGGCTTAAGAGCTCCAGCTTGAACCTGGACCCAGCCTGCCTGCCCTTTCAGATGCTCTCTTGGGCGGCGAGTTGGCTGCGCTGGCCGACAAGCTTCAGATGCTCGAGCGTGCGGCGGCGGCCGCCACCCAGGGCGTGGCGGCGGTGAGTAGCTTTCAGCCGCCCAGCCGTGTCGCGGGCTCCGCGGGTCCCTCGGGCGCTGCTGGCGCCGCCACGGGCTCGGGTGCGGCAGAGGCCCCGAGCTTGGTGGGGCGGGGGCCTAGGAGTAACAAAGCGCTGGAGGCCTTGCAGAGAGAGATGCATGTCTTGGAGGACAGGGTTTGGAAGTGTCTCTGAGTGTGCTCGAATCAGAGCGAGTTTGGAGAGCCAGTTTGGAAGCAGATTCCAGTGGCAGAGTCGGTCTTCGGTCTTGACGGGAGAACATTTGATAGCCTGAAGCCACCAAGGAATGCTGGTAGAGGATGTAGACGAAAGACCACGAAGTCACGAGCCCTGCAAGATTTGCCGAAGCTGGAAGATTGGGGCATGCTCTCGCCCAAAGCTCGCCCCAGAGCTTTGAGTCTATGAGCTTTTTAGGGTGCAGAGCTTTTTTTCACTCCCCCTCGGCCCAAAACAGAAGATTCCATCACGCACGTGGTTGGGATGCTTTTGGATGGTTTGGGCCACTTTGGGATATTTGTGGCTGGGTGGGTTCACTTGCTTCCATTTTTGGGGTGGCCCCGCTGACAGGAGAAGAAGCGCTTGGTCCAACATTTGGCACAGATGCTGGAGCCTGAACCCTCGGACTCCGAGCAGGACGACGGCTTCCCTCTGAGATGAGGTATGGCTCCGCACGACGTCGGCATCCGCGTTCGGCTCGGGCATGCTCAGTGGGGGGGAAGGTGATGGAACGGGCAGATGGATGGTCAGCTGGAGATATCCGGAGATGGTTTTGGAAGAATTCATGTGGACTGGAATGTCGTTACAATATCAACGGGTTTTCTTAGTCAGTCGAGGCATGCTCAAAGCGCTGACCTTCCCCGTTCCGATGGAGTGTGGTCTTGAAATTCTGGCTCAGACACCGTGGGCCATTTGCATGCCGGCCGCCTGCCACGCGTATTCGTATTCTTGAGGGGCTAAAAGAGCCGCGCGGTTCATCATGGCTTCGTCATGGTCCTGGCAATGACTATGAAACAGGCAGATTATATTTTTGATCAAAGCAACCGGCACCAAGACTTCCAAAAAAGTACCTATTAACTCACCGTTTCTGCCAATTAGCAGGGCCCCTTCCAGTTAGGAGTTGTTGATTAAAAAGGAGTCGTTGAGATTGGATTGGGGTTTGAGGTCTCAGCATCTTTCTGTGTGTACCAAGTGAAACAGGCCAGATCGAGCACTCAAAAAGAGCCTCCCACAGAGGTTGAAGGACTCTAGGTCGACTATCCCGGTTACGGGTCCAAGTTCAGGTCACTTAACCTCTCCGTGAAGAGTCTCCCCCTGCCTGTGGTGTGGACATCGCTTTTGGTCTGGTCTGGCGTGAAAACTCCCACTCAAAGTCTCCAAACTCTGTGGCTGAGTTGAGAAAAACCTGAGTTTGGAGAATTCTCTAAGTAAGGTCCAAGTGCACGAAAAGCCAAGAATACTGAGGCCTGTATCATCTAGATCTCCCAGTTGCACCTCCAGCCCACCTGCCACCTCCGTCGCCCTGTCGAACGACCGTCCCGAGGTCCAAAGACGATGATCTCCCGCAGCCGGCCGAGGCAGCGCGGTGCCGCGCGGTGAGCCGCCGGTGTATCAAGAGGGAGCAGTGGTGGCTGTAGAGTCATGTGCGATCAATTGTGCAGATGTTCCTGTTGAGACCTTCAAGCCTTGGCGGATTCTTATGGATGCCATTAATCCAAGCTGCTCAAGCTAGAAACCCCAAGCGAGGGCAGCCATTACTCCGTGTGTTTACGCATCAACGCCATGGTTTCTTTCAAGTTCTCGCTGCTTCTTCTGGTGCAGCAGCTGCTGGCTAATGCAGAGACGTGTTACAACGAAGATGAGTTGAGCTATGAGGTGGACCTCTTTGAGACTGCTATGAAACAGGAAGGTCCTGAAGCAGCCCTTGCGCTTCTTCAAGTCAAGAAGGTGCGGGCCACGCCATAAGGGGCGGTGCTAGTGCCAGCTGCCCACGGAAAAAAAGAACCCGACGAGAAAAAAACCCTTCCCAGTTTTGGCACACACTGATCATAGAATCCTGGCCAAACTCACCATCTGGGGCCCTCCCAGGAGAAGACTGAGAAGACCGATGCAGATGGGCAGTGGCGCCGCGGCTGGCATAACGGCTATCGTCACTATGGCTGGGGGCATGGCTATCGCGGTGGCTGGGGCGGCTGGGGCGGGCTCGGGGGTGGCAACGGTGGTTGGGGCCGCGGCTCTGGGAGCACTTGGATTCGGCGTTGCGGTGGCCGCGGCTGTTGGTATGAACGGGTCCCGCAGCGTTATAGGTGACGAGCTTGGTGAACCTCCAGGAGTGCTCCAGAAGCATGGGAAAAAGGGGGACGGAGTGCGCCGTCAGGCACATGAGCTCACATGGGCGCACAAGTCGGGATTATGTTTCTGTGACCGCAGCTGCTCAAGCTAGAAACCCCAAGCGAAAGCAGTTTTGGCCTGTTCGTCGGTGTTTTGACACATCAACGCCATGGTTTCCTTCAAGTTCTTGCTCCTCCTGTTGGTGCAGCTGGCGCTGGCGGCTAAAATGTGTCCCCCAGATCTGACCGACGCGGAAATCTTCGAAGCTGCCATGAAACAGGAAGGTCCTGAAGCAGCCCTAGAGCTTCTCCAAGTCCAGAGGGTGAAGGCAGGGCAATTTTCGAGGGCCAGCCAAGTGTTTGGCCGCATGCCACAAAGCAGAGATCCAAGAAGCCAGCCAGCATCTTCTTGATTGATTTCACTCGTTTCTGGGGCCAAGTGCATGACCAACATGACTTGTTCATTTGGAGCCTTGGGGGTGTTAGACATGGAACATCTTACGATTGCCGTGGTGTTGATGTTGGGAAGTTGGGAGTCCATATGTAGATCGTCATTTGACCACTTTGCAAGAAACCTTTGATCGATAGTAGGTTGGAGCTACTGAACTGGAGGCCGTCGCTATTGGTCACTCAAGAGATTATTTGTGTCATGAACTTGCGTGCAAATAGATTGTTTGAGATTATTCCTATTATAACTATTCTTTCGCTATTGCTTCTGAGTCCATTTCATTTTGCCCCCGCATCAGGCCGACCACGCCTCGTCCAAGTGGCGCACGCGGCGCTGGGGCCATGGGGGCCGCCGTTGGGGCCGCCGCCGTTGGCGTCGTCGTGGTTGGGGCGGAGGAGGTTGGGGCGGAGGAGGCTGGGGTGGCATGGCAGGGACGGGAGGCATAGGAGGCATGGGAGGCATAGGAGGCATGGGAGGCATAGGAGGCATGGGAGGAAGCAGCTGGGGACAGCAGGGCTGGGGCGGCGGTGGTTTTGGCTGGCGCTGAGAGGAGAGATGTATTTTCAGTGGATGCCGACCACACCGTGGTGGGCAAGCACCGTTTGCGGTCACAAGCACCGGAGAAAAGCAAGTGCGCTCGGGGGGAGGCTTGACCACCTGTAAGGTAGACTCTTGATCAATAGAACCCTGTATGAAGAGGTTTTTACAATCCAAATCAAGGATTATTTAACTTTTCATGCAGAGAATTATACATTATGGTTGCACCCAGGGCGAAGTTGGCTTGGCAAGACTCCCACCGAAACGACCCGGTGGGTCGCCGAGGTCGGTGCGTTGACCGACCTGCTTGGAGTTTCGAGCCTCTTCGCCCGCCAGGTGAAATTCCCGGTGCAGAAAGGCTGCCAGCTGATTGTGTTTGGGGCGCCCAGGGCGGTCACCTGAGTTTGCTAGGGAGGTTAGCACAGTTGCTGGCAGACCCCCGCGGTTCCAGTGCTGTGCCGAAGCGCCAGTGCCGATCCTTGCGTGGGCACACGCCTGAGGCAAAGAGTTTGTTGTGGTGCCGATCACACCTTCGCCATTGCCGGGAGCGCCTGAGAGTGAGTGGTCTTCAGTGGTCTTCGAAGCTATGGGATCAAAGCTTCTGAACAAGTTGGATCGTCTGAAGAGCCACCACTGGAAGGGTGGCCTGTGGAGGGATGGTGTATACAGAGCCAGGGGTGTCTAACATCCTATCCGCGGTGCTGGAGGAGTTCTTTCGGATGAGACTTTGTGCACCTGGCCCAGGTGAATATTTCTTGCGCCGAGCCGAGAGCCACCGCGGACGCGCGAGCGGGGGTGGGTCCGGGGATGTCACCCCTGCATGAGGCATCCCGTGTCGTCGTGGCGAAAGGGAACTCAACCTGTTTGGGGCTTGGTGTGTGCGGCATGAATTTAGAATATCCCATCCAGCACATCTCCCTCTCTCTCTCTCTATCATTCTATATCTATATTATATGTTTGTTTGCCTTGATTTCTCATTTGACACCTCCGTTGAATGAATCCATGAACCAATACTTATCGATTTGCTGCGCCCATCCGTTGAAGACTAGCGGATCGCTCCCGATTTTATCCCGCTGCCGTCGCCTCGGCCCAAGCGCTCGCACAGCAAGTCGCACAAGAAAACTCCTTCCTTTGCAGACGTCTCCGACTCTGCAGCCGCTTGGACGAAGGGCCCTGGGGGTCCGAAGCGAAAGACCGAAAAAGATTGACAGGACAGGATGGGCCCCCATGGGGACGGAAAGCAAGCGATGGGCTGCATGTGGTTTTGGGCACGCTCTTTTGAATTGGGCGTGCTGAGTATTCGGTGTGTGGCGATGTCAAGGTCTCTCGCTCTCTCTCTCTCTCCCGCTCGCTCGCGCTCGCTCGCTCTCTGAGTGACTGAGTGAGTGAGTGAGTGAGAGAGAGAGAGAGAGAGAGTGAGAGAGAGAGAGAGAGAGTGAGTGAGGGAGTGAGCGAGTGAGCGAGAGAGAGAGAGAGAGTGAGTGAGTGAGTGAGTGAGTGAGTGAGAGATAGAGAGAGAGGGTGAGTGAGTGAGTGAGTGAGTGAGGGAGTGAGCGAGTGAGCGAGTGAGCGAGTGAGTGAGTAAGTGAGTAAGTGAGTGAGTCTTTCTTTCTTTCTTTCTCCTCCACCGATGTGCTAAAGTTATGGTTGGGAGATGGCGCAGGTCTGCCTGTGGGAGGCACGAAAAGCTTCAAGATCACATGTCCCCACCCACCCGGAGCACTTCCAGTAGCAACAAGATGGAACTGATGAGTCTTGGGGAGTTGGTCGTTGAGTGTAAGATGTGCGAGGCTCTGATCTCTTAGATTCTAGATGTGTTCAGCTAGCCCCAGGCCTGTTTGGACAGATGTTCAATTAAGCCAGAATGCCGTCATGCTCAGGCCCCACCATGCTGCCCCGTGTCACCGGGGGAGACGGTCTGGTGGCTCCCAGGTCCCCTGCGTTCCATATGCCTTCGAGCACCCCAAGGCATGCCCGAAGTTTGAACTCCCGTCGTTCGGTTGGGCGGAAACGCGACCCACCATTGATGGTTGGGCGGAGGGAAACCTGGAGCACCATCTAAAACAAGCTGTACCAACCCCGAGTTGATCGAGCTTGCATCCTCGATGTGCACACTCAACTGCTTTTTTTGAGCGGTCGGTCGAACTCTGTCTGTCTTTTGAGGTCCTAGGAACTCTGTCTCCGAGACACTGTCTCCCTTTCACTCTCATCCTTTGTCTTCCTCTCTTTCCTTCCACCGTCGCCGCCCGCGAGGTCTGATTCTATTCCAGGCGCCCGCCGGCGAAGCACCGAGCGAGCGCGCCCGCCGCATGCTGACCCCGCATGCACCTGGCAGGGAATGAGGGGAAGGACCCCGAATTTACATCCACTGCAGCTTCCTTAGGATCCCTTTCCTCATTCGATTGAAAAAAGGGGGATCATCTTCCAATCCAAGCAACTGCGATGTTTTCCATGCCCTTTCCGCCCTTTTCCGGCCAGGAATGTCGCCACTGGATTCCAGTGACGTGCCACCCTCGGTGGCTCAAGTGATCCATGTCTCTGTCGCCAAAGAGGTGCGGGCGGTCTTGGGCCCCACAGCGGGTCCAGGTGGGAAGAGAACGGAGAGAGAACCAAGAGGGGCGAACAAACGGAGTGAGTGATGTTGAAGGAACCGCAAGGAAGGGTGGTCCATGTCCGACGGCCAAGGGTCCATTACCATAATTCTTTTTTGGGCATTATATATATATATATATCATATATAACGGACCGTTTGACCTTCTTGGATCATACAGCCAGAAACACTCGGGTCAAGCCTTGGAATTGGTGGCTTTCACACGAACACCCATCTAGCAGAGGCTCCTCTCATCCCAAGAAGGATCGGAGCCCTGAGCTTTTCCTCCGCCTTCGACTGCGGAGGATGCTTCTGACAGCACCAGCACGGCTGACACCTCAAGCAGCGAGAACGAGATCGAGCGGGAGGCAAGGCACGTAGACGACGTGAGGATTCTTGAGGCTTTCGTCGAGAAGAAGGGAGACCCTCACACCTCACGGTGAGTCCAATTACTTGACCGGGGTCTTGCAGTTTGAAGCACAGCACTGGAACTGGAAGAAGGTGGAGGCTTGAACCTTCAACAAGCAGCACCTGCCACAGGAAATCAATGTCCACTCATGGAGCCTGGTGGGGCGCAAGGCGGGGCGCGGTCCGTGGACGGTCGAAGCCGCTCCGCCATGATAGCAGGAGGGCGGAAAGTTCTCGCGTGTGGAGTGGTTAGGTGGACCCGAAGAAGCAGATGGGCACTAATCTCATTGAATGAAGAACACCCACATAAATAGAGATGATTCCGCATTCTTTTCTTCATCTGTCTTATTCATCACAAAGATCAATATCTTCTTCGAATGAATGACCCTCTTTCATGACCCTTTGGTCCGAGGGATTCGGAGGGAACGAACGAACGTCTCCACGTGATCGAACGTTCGTTGTGATCGAGGCGACCAGCCACCAGATGTGTGGTATCCTGGTGATCCGGAGGGCCAACTCTGCCAAGTGGAGGGGTCCCATAGAGAGTTCCTCACTGACCTACCTGAGGCTCAGATATCTCTGCCCGAACCATGGCAGGGGAGTCCAATCAAAAGCCATCACATTCAGCCATTCAGCACCGCGCTAAGTTCGCACGGCCGGTAGCCATAGCCAATCCATGGTCAGGCCTCCCAGGCCGCGCCGAGAGTCTCGCACCCCTTGCGCCCACGTCGCCGGCGCAGATCTTCCAGAGCCTTGCCGAGATGGAGAGCGACGATGAATTTGAAGCAAGGCGCTCAGGTGTTCAGGGCTTGAAGTTGTGGGGATTTGGGTGTGTCATATGGAGTGTCCATAAAAAGCCACCCTGATCTAATGCGTTTGGGCCTTCAGGTCCCCATTTCAGCGTTGGTTTCCTTCTTGTTCCGTTGGGGTGCTTCAAGTGGCGCATGTTCTGCCCCTTTTTCCGTTTGATGTTTCTCAGGTTTGTTTGGTTTGTTCCTGTGTCTTGCCTCGGAAGCCGGCGATTTGGCACCTGACCGGGGCGCCCCGTGTCGACCAGGTGGAGCGGCCGGTCGATGTGAAGTCCTGGAGTGCACCGGGGGAGTCGCCTGGGGGACCGGACCGGGGAGTTGAAGGGGGTGGTGTTTCCACCCACTCACCTACCCACCCTGAAAGTAACAAGGGGGGAAGTCGCTTGGAGCGTTTGGATTTGGAGCGTGTGGAATTGGTGTATGGTGTTCAATGGTTTTCCGCAAACAGTTGGGGTCACACCTACTGGGCTCTGACGGTGAATTCTCGTTTGGATGGTTGGAATTAGGGATTCTTGTCCCAGTTCAAGCAACCATTTTCTTTTGGATTGGACGTTTTGGAGGATGGTTTGGGGATTGCCTTTTTCTACTGAGGGGAGGATGTGAAGACTGGTGGAAGACCCCCAGCTGCAGAGGTTCTCTGAGACATGGTGCTTGGAATCTGCACGGTTCACCAAAGAAGGTAGGCTTTCACAGCATGGATTTATGTCATATTTACTAAATAGCGCATTTGGGCGCAACCCCACTTGGCAGGAGAGCACCACCCTCCACCCAAGCAGCCCAAGCATCAGGTTATTCGTTCAGCAATCAGAGCGACTGACTTGAAAGGACAGGCAGACCTCCAGGATGAATCCATCGCATCCTTGGACATAGTCTCGTCTCGTTGATTCTTCCATCACCCCTCATCCCCAGACCTTCTCGGAGCGCCAGGAGCGCGGTTGGAGCCCGTATCCACCAGCGTCTCGTGGACCTCGACGTCGAGGAGTGAAGCGCTGCTGGCACGCGGGAGGGAGCGGTGAGTGGAGCCAGGGCGGAGCCAGGTTGAAAGGGGGCCACGGGCCGGCGACGGGTGTGGAAGATGATGGAGGCTTTTGGGGTGCATGGTGTTGAGGCGCAGTTGGTCATCAGTGTGGGGGGTGTCTCAAAGAGAGGGGAACCCTTCAACAATTCCTTGTGGAAAGACAACAGGCACGGAATAGCAGGACAAGATGGGTGGTGAAGATCGTGAAGAATGCTTGCAACATTTTCCGGTGGGTCAAAGCCATTCGGCCTTTGTGCAGGGTCTCATATGGGACGAAGGCAGGTGCATGCAGGTGCCCTTTGTTGATTCAGCCTCGTCTTCAGGCGCTGCAATGGTGACGCTGCTACATGTTTATTGGTCCTTTTTGGACCTCCCCCGTTTCTGGCGTCTCGCCCTTTTCTTGTCGCAACCAAACGCGGCGTCTTAAATGGCATCCAAGGATGCCCAGTTGAACGGGACGCTCTTGCACGCGCCCATCAAAAAGAGCTCAGAGGTTGTTGGGTGCAGGGGCAAGCTGGAGGAAGAATGCCTCGAGAGCAACATTTGACCTAACAAACTTCTATCCAAGGGGGGGGCTAACATAAAATCAGGCACATTGAGGGAAACAGTGCATTCTTTGCCACCAAATCGGGGAGCATCAAGGTTGGCTCGCTATTCGCTGCCCCTGCAGCTTGTAGGCTTAAGCTATGGCCAGAGATGAGCCCGAGCCCATTTGCCTTCAGTCCATTGGTCGAACCACCTGATCATCGATGTGTTCCATGATCTTCCGTAGGCCCACCATGGCCCAGTTCTCAAGGTGAAAGACCTTAGCAACCACCCCCTTCCAACCACGTCCCACTCTACCTCACAAAACAAAGCTGCAGTACTCTGCAGCCGATTTTTGCCGATGGACTTCTCCAAGACGGACTTCGACACCACCTACCGACCAGGTGGTGGTGGCTTGAACTATGGGGTCAAACATGTCAAACAACAAACATGTGCCTCTGTTCTGTCCATTCTGAGGGATAAGCTGCTAGCCGCTTGGGCACATGCGGGCCGGAGCGGTTTTCGGTTGAAAAGAAGGTGTGGCGACAAATCACTCGCCGCCTGGCGACGAATCACTTGTTCAAACTTTCCAGTAGAGTTGAGATAGTTGAGCCTTTTCGTGCACGGATGCACTCTGCTCCACTCCAACGGCCCACTTCAAGCCGAACCTGACCAGGCACCAACTACGACTACCAGAGGGATGAGGAGTTGTTGGGGAAGTTGGGCGCCCGCACCGGTCACGAGGCGCGGGTGCTGGGGCGGGTGCTGGGCGACCGGGAAAACCGATGTTTTCTTTGCCTTTTGTGCGGTGGAGACGGTGGAGAGGGCGTTGTTCTTTTGAGATGGCAGGTGCGGGCAACAGGTAGGGGCGACATGGCTTTTCCGAAGCTTTCAGCCAAGGACGGAGTGGGGAATAACAGGCTGGTCAAGTCATGTCAAGTCCAGTAGGATTGCAATTTTTGGAAGGTACATGGGACCATTTGACGTAGAGCAATGAGAAAGGCCAATGCAATCATTGTCATGTTCGCATAGTTGCAATTGCCTTAACTTAAACCCTGAGCGAGAAGAGCAACTTATAGACGGGATCTTCTTGCACCAATGAGGAGCTTCCTCCAACATTTGCTGTTTGCTTTTGGGGAGTCGCAGGCTAGAGCCTAGCTTCACCGCAAGAATCGCAAGAACTCCTTTGGATAAGGACTCCACCGACCGTCATCGTCATCTTAGCTGTTCTGGGGTGTCCCAAGATCCCAAGGCATTGGGCCATTGTTGCCTGACGCCTCCCCCTCCACCTGGGTCACACCTGATGACCAGTGAATCGATCAAACAGCCGGGAAGAGACGCCGCCTGGAACCTGATGACCATGGACCTCCACAGTCCCAGTGGTTTACAGGTTCGGTCTCTTCCAGGGCATAAGCAGGGAGTGATCTGTAATTATCTCAACTCAACTCTCAACTGGGATCTCTCCATTTGCTTCGCGGAGATCCACAAGCAGCTGCTGTCGGACCGCCTGAACCACACGCAGCAGCAGCACCTGATGGAGCCATGGATGGCACAAGAGGGGGGCATTCCCCCAGAGGCAAAGGTTACGCCCTGGAAGATTGACATAGAACCTGAACATCCACTGGGTTGTAGAGGAAAATAGTCTTCCAAAGGTCCATGCCATCAGGTTCCATGTTAGTCTTCCGGGGTGTACCTCAAAAGGTGGAGCAACTCCCAACGCATGGGACAGAACATCAAGTGACAAGGGGAACCCTGTCCATAGGTGGAACTTTCCCTCTCGAATTGATGTGTTTTCGGGATGGTTGCTGTGTGGCGCCGGGGCACTGAGGAGCAGTGGAAGGAGCTACGGCTGAAGTGTTACGATTATTGGACACTGAAGCTGCAAGCCGTGCCGCGGGGGGGGGGGGAGTGTAGGTGGGGGGGGGAGTGGTGCCTGGAGATGGCGAAGTGACTATTGGACGCGTATGCGTGCGCCTCCGAGTGCCCTGACGTGATGAAAACAAGGAACGGCCCTTCACTCCGCAGACGACACACCTGGTTCCCATATGGCGGCTCAACGGAGATATAGGGCACGGCCAAACCCAGACCGTTGGTGACTTCGCTGGCCGACCAGCACATGGGTGGACTCGTGGGCTGATCTCGTGAGGCAAGGAGGATTTCCACATTGTGGGGACGGATCAAGACTCGGAGCCCTAGAACCAGTTGTGACCCACCGCCCAGTAACATCTTCTTATGATCGGCTCCCTTCTCCCCATGCAAAGCTGTGCTGCCCTTCTCCCCTTTTTGCAGCGAGGAGGCCAGAAAAGGCCGAAGAGTCCGCACATCTCCCAATTCCACGGCTGCTTGTTCCTGACGCTGGCACCCGGCACCCGGAGCCTGGCCGGGCCAGGATGGATGAGGTCCAGAATGATCAGCTGATGCAGTCGCATACCGTGCTGAAGGATGTGGTCAGCCGCTGCTGCCGGAACTTTCGAGAAAGATCCAACCACGCGACTTGGAAAATGACCCTGGTGTGGGAAAAAAGGGGGGGCTCCATGCGCTGGACACAGTTGCAACTTCTTTGACATAGTTGGCTCGAGTAAATTCTCGATGGATAAAATCTAGAATCTAGAACATTGGAGTCCAATCTTGGGCATACAGGCCCCGAGATTCAACATTCAACGCCAAACCCAGCTTTTTTGAGGATTTCTACACTCCCCGGAATCATCATGGAAGTGGATGATGGTGCCACCTGATTCCATGGAGGGTATGGATTTGGAGTTCTTGAAGGTCTGGAGCCTTCTGCTTTGGCGGGCGTGCCTAAGGTTTTTGATGTGGCGATGTGCCACCATGAGGTGGTGATGCTGTACCGGGAGTGCAAGGCGGGGCGGTCGTTGACAAGACTCATCACTGCATGGAAGGTCGCATTCGTGACCGAAGGCTTGGGACTGCTTCGGGTTAGTCGAAAGAACACCTCTATGGTCCTAGTCACTGACAGGAGAAATCGTCCGTTTTCCGGACTCCAAGGGCTCTCCAAGGGCTCTCGGGCGAGGGTCCTAGGGTGGCTTCGTGCCTTCTCTCCGTGCCTTTGCTCCCAGGGTCACCGACTGAGCTCCGCGGAGCCGGTGGCCGGGAGAGACAGTAGCAGCGCCGTCCGCTGAAAAGGTGTGGCGGTGATGCGGCCGAGGTGGCGGGGCGTTGGCTAAAGGAGTGCCCATCCACCACGCGAAACCGATCTCAACGAGTGCCTGAATGGTGCCCGCGATGTGGTACCCGCGACGCCCACACCCAAGCGATGTGGTCCCAGACACTGAGGTGCTTCGTTTACGGAGGCCGGGCGGTTGTTCGCCTGGGGCTTGGGTCTGGAGCTCGGAGGGCCAAATGAGGAGGTTTGGAGGGTAGGTGTGGAGGTATGGGCCAAAACCTCCAGATAGTTCAGCATTGGTGAGAATCAATGCTCATCAGACAAAAGCGCGTTGACAAACCGCGACCCAACATGGTGGTCGGCCTCTCAAATGGTTGGATCATGGATGATCATGGAGATATCAAGTCGACCGTCGCCAGTGCCATTCCGGCTCAGTATCGAATGCGTCCTTGGCTGAAAGACTGGCCACTGTTTTGTGCCCTGTGGGTGGCGGGCTATGAGTTCTTCAAGGCTGGCTCCGACTGCAGTCAGGCAGTCGATATCAGATCCCTGGTAGCCGGCATGCAGGTGATGTGTTCCCTGCTTGCCGAAGGCCCTGAAATAGGACCAGTGTTATGCTTGGACCAGGGTGACCGGTATAGCCATCGGGGATCTACTATCTATATATAGGGCCTAGGGTCTTTTTTTGGGTTCGGGGGTCCCATGCACTGTACCTGCTGCCGAGCACCTACTTCTTTACTTGGCCCGTGCCGCCCCAAGGAGTCGAGTGAAACGACCCCAAAAGTGCCACGTCAATGGAGGCTACGCCTCACTGCTTCTCTTCACGCGGGACGCGCCCGGCAACTTTGGGCGCTGAGGATCCGGCGGCTTGGAGGATTTTTGGTGCCTCATCCACATCGTTGGATCCTAGTTGCGCATTCATGAGACTTCAAACAGTTGTGCTTCCTTTATGGTTCGGAATAGTTCCAATTTCTGCACCTGATGCATTTCTTCTGTGACCTTCCAACTCATGTGGCTGTGTTGTTGCGTTTCATTTGGGCCATAGTACGGTGACCTCCGGACCCAGCAATGACACATTCGCTGGTCTCTTCCGACATCCATCATTCCGAGAATTGGTTTCCGCACCACCAAGGTGTTCATCGGGCCTTTCCCATCGAATTTTCTTCCCCCGAAGCAGTGCCCGCACCGCGCAGGTCTTGCGGGGCACCCAGCGCTGGATCTCCGAGCTGGTCGTGGCGTCGCCCGCGTCGCCTGGGCTATGCCCGTGGGCGGCCCGCGCGCAGCAGCGCCTGGTGCATGGGCGGTGGGGCCAGGTGGAGGCCTCGGAGGCCGTGCGGCGGCTCCGACGCGTGGCGAGGAGGGTGGGGCGCGGAAGGAGAGCGGAGGCCGTGCGGAAGTGGTGGGGGAATGAGATGTTTGTGGAGGGTGGAGGCGTGTGTTGTGCGGAAGTGGTTTAGAGGCATGGCCAGGTGGGTGCCAGTCCAAGATTTGTGTAACATGTGTAGGTTCTATTTACGGCCGTAGACTTGCAGTGCTCATTGGAGATCCTCCCATTTGATTCGCTAGTCTCGTATGGGTTTGTACGACGATGGGGCCGCTTCCAACCCGATGGGGTACAAAAGAAATCTCTGACACAGGAAACTTGACCCTCAGTGGAAGGGCTCCTGCCCCTCACTGTGTAAGAAAAAGACACCCGTTCCCATGACTGAGCCCAGCACATGTTCTGGAAAAAAGGAGCCAATTGCTTCCACTGGTTCCACAACGGCGCCACCGAGGCCCACGGTTGGACGGCTGACGTCTTGACCAAATCCATTTCGAAACTTCGGCAAAAGACGAACGTCCTTGTGGGCCCACGTGACCTCTAAGGTGTCGAGGGTGAGCGGCTCCGGAACACCTCAGCTGCATGGCCGACGACCCTCGTGGTGTTCTCCCATCCGGACCTGACGACCGGTGGGAAATGGGCGGGCGGGCGGCGGGGATATATGTCCGACCTTCCGGAAGGTCGGCCCTTGAGGTGAGTTGATTGTTGATGTTTTTTTGTTGGTAGATGTTGTGATGATTTGACGGCCGTGGTGGCATTTTTGTGCATGAGTTCTGGTGTATCAAGAAGATCAAAAAGGCGTGAAGATTCTGAAACATGTTCTGAAAGCCGGGAGCCAACAGGACAAGTGGAGAAAACTGTAGCCGCCGGCTTCCGACCACTTGGAACATCTTCTGCATATCAGTCTTCAGAAAGCCCGGAGTCTTTCATTTCCAGAGCGACAATTCTTAGAAGCGAGGTCTTCAAGCGCATCCACTCGTTTTGAGGCCCCTGGTTGGAGAGAAGGCCATGCCCCAAGAACCTGAAACAGACCCCAAAGCAAAGCCAGCAGCGGTCTCCAGCCAAGTCATGTCTGAAAACGTCCCGGCCTCTGTCTCGGCCTCGCGGCCTCCGCCTCGCATCCCGCCGCCCCGCGTGTGTGTGTGTTCGCTTGCCAGGACTTCGCCGGTCCAGCGGGGCTGGTGACGTTTTCACAGCTCTGGCGAGACGTGGCGAAGTCGCAGCAGGACCGGACCGGGACGGAGCGGCCCGCCGTGTGTGGAACGCGGGGGGGGAAGTACATACGAAACGTGTGCCCCCGGTGATGCGGGGGCAGGCCACGCGAGAACGCGAAAACCGCGAAAACGGCGAAAACTGCGGATACAAAGCGCTTGGATTTGACACAGCTCACGGTTTTCTCGAACACCGCGAAAACGGTGAAAGGGGGAAAACGGTGGGGGCTGTTCGCCTCTCTCATTTCAGGTGCTTTCAAGTGTGAGGATGACAGGGTTGGGCAGATAGCTGCAAAAGTGATGCACACAAAATATGGCGGGATCATTTGGCAGACAGATCTGATCAGATTTCACACCGCGCTACTTCTGTGTGGACAAGCCACTTCCATGCCTACGCCTCACAAAACCCCTCCAAAAGCGATTTGTTGTTCGGCCTCCACCAATGCGCACGTCTCACACCTTCTCACCTAGGAGGACCTGGATTTGTTGGCGTTCCACCCTTGTCGCGAAGACCGGGGCCCCGGGTGTCGCGCCCATCCGCGCGACGCGGGGCACTTCTCGGTGCGAGCGCCTCTTCTTTGTCGGGCAGGGGAGCGCCTCAAACGAGGGCGGGGTGTGGGGGTTTTGAGAAAAGGCTTTAGATGGATCTTTTTTTGGGGAGTGGTTGGGCGGGGGCAGGAACTTGGAGCAATGTGACCTTGGAAGAAGCTGCGAAGTGGAAGACTTGTGATGCATAATGCAACCGGAAGAGCTCATCTAGAATCTTGGATCATGAAACGGCTGACATGAATGAACCTGACCAGGCAGTTTGCGAGGGTTTTTGAAACTGCGGTCTGATCCTTGTTGAGTGAATATGAACTGATCATAGCATCCCAAGTTGCATTTCGAGGATAGGAACGTGTACAGCCAATAGTAACTTTGTCCTTTCCAGCTGGAATACCCACACCACCCTTGGCCCACTTAGCAACTCAGGCACCTTGGCCCACTTTGCAGCTCCTGCGTGCGTCTGACCTGTATGCCGCCCGTGCCGAGTGGCTACGGCGCGGTGAGCCCGGCCCGGGTGCGCTCTCGCTGCTGCTGCAGAACAAGGCGCGGCTGCGCGCGGAAGGCGCCGAGGCACTGCGGCGGCGCTTTGACACATGGGCCGCCGAAGGAAAAGCGGAGTTGCCTCCAAGAGCAGCCGAAAAAAGCGGGCCGTGGGCGTGGATGGGAGGGAAGAGGCAGTGTGTACCAGTGTGTGTGCATGCTAAGAAGTGTGAAAGTGCCCCCCAAAATGGGACACAGAGGAGCTCACAATGATTTCCAGGGGAACAGCAGTACTTTCACACTCTGCCCCGATTCAGGGAGCTCATCCAAGATGAGGTGCTTGGTCGTTCTTTTTCTCCGTGCGCGCCAAGCGCGCCGAGGTAGCTATGGCGCCTTAGGCATCGGGTCGTGGGCTGATTGCCACACCCCCACGGAAGTGTGGTTTCCTGAGGATGCCGGGAGTCCCAGGGCTCCCCCTGCCTTCGCTCTGGACTCGTAGACCCGCAAAGAACGGCCGAAACGGCCACCCGAAGCACCTGCCACTTGCTGCGACACCCTTTTGATTTGGTTTGCTGACTGTGCTTTTTGGTGTCGGACACTTCCCTTGTTCCGTTGGATTCCCCTTTTGCCCTGACTGGATGGTGCATCCTGTTGCCGAGGATGCGGAAGCGCACAGGCGCCAAGCAGGGGGGGAGCTGCGAACTGGCTGAGGTATATAGTAGCGCCAGTAAGCTTTGGCATTTGGGTCGCAAGACCTTCGACATTGTGGATGGTCTTCCACATCCTTGAGCTAATCAACCCCGAAGGCTGAAGACCAACATGGACAAAAAACAGGTGTTTTGATACCTGTTTGGTCGTTTTTTTGAGCTGTGACTTGCGGCGAAGGGATTGCAGCAGTGCCTTGCCGTTTTGTTGCGTCGTCGGGGCTTCAGACTGACGCGGCTCACAGGCGTCTCACCTTCGTCTACCAGGCCAAGTGTTTTGAGTGCTGCTTGTTTCAAGGAGGTGCCCTGCACCCAACAGATTTTGGACCAAACCCGGGTAGAAGATCACCACGAACGTTGAGAGATCAACGTGTTGGAACGTTGGAACCGCCAAGGGATGTGGACACTCTCCGAGGCACAGAAGATCAGCGACGAGGTTAGAGTAACAAGTCGGCCTGGCAGTGGCAGCATTCCTGTTCGGTCTTTCTCAACCACATGGGGTCTGGTTCCCTTTTTTGAGCAGGCTTGTCCGTTTGCCCCTGGAGCGACCTTTGTATGCCAAAAGTATGCATGCTTAGGTTAAAAAGGCACCAGTTATTGCTTATTTTTCAACATGTTTTTTTCCTCGGAACTGTCATGATCCCCCCCAAAAGCTGTAGCTACATCATTCTTTGGGATCTTGACCTGGACATAGCAGAGCCGCCCAAAAAGGGACCGGTGGACCGAACGCAGGTGGCGGCCGGCACCAAGCATTCGGTCGCCCTCACCGACAAGGGCCAGGCCGGGGGCGAAACGGCGGCCGCTTGGAACCGCGGAGGAACGTGGGAACAGCTGAGGGCGAGAGGGACGGGTTGGAAAACCTTCTGAACCCGTTGTGTAAAGTATTAGCACGGATGTGTTAGAGGGGAAGCAGTTATGCCGCGAGGTCCTGGGTGTTTTTGGACTTACACGAAGTTCTTCCCGAAGCATTGCAGTTCCTTGCGAGGCAGTTCTGTCCGAATCTCCAAGAACCACTCCGATGATGCTGGTGGACTCTAGATGATATTCTAGGCAGATGATATTCTAGGCTTAATGCGTCCGAAACCATCTTCATCATGGACCTGGAAGTTTGATTCATCAAGAGATGGACCTGTTTCATCAAGAGCCCACCCGAGGGACTGATCGGCTCAGGTCTACACCTGGGGCCATGGAGGGCATGGCCGACTGGGCCTCGGTCAGGCCAAGGCGACGTGGCGGTTACGCCGCTCCGGGGCGGTGTGTGGCATCTGGTGGAGCATCTGGGTGCCATGGATGTGGACGGGCCAGAGGGAAGGAGAGGGAAGGAGAGAGAAGGATGAGATCAATCACATCGGCAAGACTACTGTTAACATGGCATATTTTGCTTGATGTTTCACATGCTCTTTGTACTTGAGGATGGCTGGCAGTAGGGAAACACGAGGTTGCACCTCTTTGAAGGCTCCGGGCCTTAGATGGTTGGTATCCGTGCGTTGGGCCGAAGTATTCTAGCATGCAGCTTCTCTGCTGGGCTGCCACTTTTCGACCGGTGATCCAGCACTGTGACCGCTCTTCAGACCCCAAAAATACCCTCTCAGCCCGATGTGCGTCCCGTGGCCAGCGGCAGGTCCGGGGTCAGCGGCGGCCTCAGCATGCTGCACAACAGGGCGAGCATCATGGCACTGAGTATGCTGAGTCGACATGTTGACCGTTTCCTTTTCATGCTTTTCTGGTCTGCAGGTGAGGTGGCTCGACAGGCGAATCTCAACCGTTTTGGGGGGACTCCACCTCAAAAACGGATGCCATTCACTCCTTAGCACTCCTCCTTTCCACACCGCAGCCTGCTTTTCTTCTCCTCCCCATTGATGGACGGCTTGGTCCCGCCCCACTGGGGAGCACTCTGGGGAGCCAACACCGGGCCTGCACCGCCAGGAACTCCTACAGCGCGGAGTTCGTGCCAAGGCAGGTTCGGTGCCGTGGAGGGCCCAAAGGAGGTGGGTGTGACCAGTCAGAAAGCGATGGAACAGATTGGACCAGTCAGGAAAAAGTGGACACCTGTGGCCCACAGCAATTTTGGTTTTCGGAGCTCTTTCTGCTTGTTTGGGGGTTGTTTTGACTCCACACCGATTTGACCGCAAGTTCGGGTTTGGTGCCCAGTCGCCTCGCCCTCTTGAGGTCGATTCACTCAACCAGGCGGTGACCAGCCTTGTTTGGGGGTCACATGGGGGTGTGGGGATGGCGCATCCATGGTTCTCTTCCTGCAGCTGTTTCACTCAGGCTCCGTCATGTATGGATGCCCCGGCCGCAAACCCAAAGATATGGCATCTCCAGAGACCCAAGAAGGTGGTGAAGTGTCTGACTTGGACAGCGAGAAGACTTGCACGCGTGTTCCCAACTTCTGCACAGCAACGTTGGATGGGAAATAAACCGCTCTCACTGACATCATTTTGCAGGACTGACTCATTTTCATATATATATATATACACATTCTGTTAGTCCAAAAAGAAACGAAAACAACCAAAACCAACACACAGAGCACACCAAAAACACCCGCTCTTCCGCCACTCACGCGCCGTGTTCGGCCGCGCTCTGCCCCGCGGCCGTCGATGGCGGCCGCCCGGGCGCGGCTGCCGCGCGCCGCCGGGTCTGGGCTGTCGGCAGCGCGGCGGAAACCGACGCCCAGCAGGCGTGGGAGAAGAGGAAGGAGCCACAAATAGGGCGGGAGATGTGGGGAGTAGCTTGGGTGGGAGTGGCTTAGGACCATAAAAAACCGGCCCTTTTCCGCTCCAAGCGTTCACAGATCGTTCGGTCCTTCGTGCCGAAGAAGACCCCGGCCGGGTCGAACGGGAGGTTCTTCGACTTGGCTGCTGCTTTGGCCAGCGTCCAGATGCCGGAAGACCTGCAGCCGAGGAAGCCGTCGCGGCCACGGCAGACGGCGCGGCCAAGGAGGGACGGAGGGGGTGGCGGTATCTCCAGAGTACGTTACTGTATACAGATGGGGCTAGCTCAAGAAATCCAACGTCTGGGGGCTGGCTGAACACATCTGAACACCATCAAATTTCAGCAGACTGCGCGAGGCTCGGCCGGTGGTGCGCAAAGCATGTAAATAGATGGCGGCTTTTTGGTTTTCAAAAAAGGTTTTCTTTGGTTTATTAGTCAAGATCCTACATTGACAGTAGCACGGGTTTGGTTCTGACAGAATGAAGGCCCTGGCAACCAATGAGCCATAGACTTTTCTGAGGGCCCTTCAGCGCGAAACAACCTCGCGCGGACCCCGAAGAATTAGAGACATGACGCTCCACGCAGCACCATGGCAAGTGTTCCACAGGGTTGCAAGCCATGGCCACAGGAGCTTGACAATCAAACAGGCTGCCACACGACAAGGAATTGGCGATGACCTGGTGGGGGGGGATGCAGAGAGCCGCCATTTTTTGCGGGGTATCCCCTGACGGTTTCTATTTTCAGGATTTTTCAGGTGGACTCATGTGTTCCTTGCAAGCTGGCCTTCGCACCAACGCATCCATGTGCAGGTTATGACGTTTCACGTTTCACAATTGACCATGTCGGTGGTATCCACCATTTTTTATCAGGAAGGGAAGGGCACCCCTGTTTTTTTGAAGTACCAATTCTGAGCGCAATAAGCAAGAGACCCCCCTTTGTGAGACACGCTCCTTCTGCTACGAAGGGCATTCCTGCACTCACATCAGAAATTGCATGCTCCACTTGTTTGACACCCAACTATGGCAACTTGAAGATGCTTGCCGGTGGACTCTTGTCCAGGTAGCAAACCCTTGGCTCCAAGTAGCAAATTGCAGGTGGACCTATACGGAGTAATGCCAGTTGATCGAGCCATGTGGGGATGTCCTCCTCCTTGGGTTCCGATGCCCTTCTCCACCGGCCGTTTCAGGGGCGGCGGCCGTTTCTCCGCGACGACGGGGTCGATGCACGGCGGCCTCACGCCGCCCAGGTCGTGCGGGCTGGGCCGACCCGGAGCCCATCGCCCTGCAAGACCCCCTCGCCACAGAGGGGAGCCACCTCGGACTGGCGTGACTGGGCAAAGGAGCCGTGAACAGTGAGCATCATCAGCCTAGTGCTTAAGCACATGAGTCCGGATTCCGGGGATTTACGGTCATTTGGGTGCTAGTCCTCAAGCTGTCCTGTGTTTGGGTGGGGCCTTCCTGCTCAGGAAAACGGACTGTGTCCCTTGGCTGCAGTAGAAATCGATCGCGAATGATGATTCCCATGTATAGTCTAGAAGGAAGAATTTCATTTGGAGTGGACCCGGTGCAGCGTTTCCGCATACAGTATAGTTCCATATATATACACGTCGCGACAAGCAGTGAATGACTTTCTTCTTTGGTGGACTGTTTCAACTGTCCGAACACAGCGGGAGAGTCCTATTCTTCCTAACTTGCTCATCTCAAGCTAGCATGTCGCCCCAGTCCGAAAAATAAGTCTTCTTTCACCAGTGAGAAGCTAGGCTGTTTGGTACGAACGCATGTTCCATCATGGCCAGCGCATGTTCCTGCGCAGGTCCTGCGCGCGTGCGGCGATTCAACACCTTCGCCGCTGGGGCGGAGAGAGATGGTGTGGAAGAGACCAGAATCTGCGCAGAAGAATCGTCCCTGGGTTCCACCAAACTCATTTTTCTGGGGGGCCTTCTCACTTTTCCAGGCCACCAGCCGGATTGTTTGGAAAATGAAACGGCCTCTTGGGGTAACCCACCGGTTTCCTGTGAAAAATTGGTAGCTCCACGGAGGAGGAGTTTGGGTGGTTGATGGACACCCCTGACTAAGACGATGTATGTTCCATCCAAGAACCACCCGAACTCTGTGGTCGCATCAACCATCGTTTCTGGCTGCGATTAGAACACATTTGGGCGAGGTGTTTCTGGGGTGTTTCATGAACACCCCCGTAGCCACCAAGTGGCAACCCAAGCAGGGTGTCCTGGTAGAAACCTCACTCTTCGAAGTCCGATTTGTAATGGGTCATGGGGTGGCAAAGGCTTGGAGGGTTCTTGCCAATCCGTGGAGCCGAGCATGGCTCGGCCAGTCCCCCGCAGCAATCCGCAGCAAAGCAAGCTTCCTTTTGCACTCCAGATTTGCATGGTTCGAGCTTCGAGGTTGAGCCAACCCAGCCACTCAGCCTTATGCCCGGAGCTTCCGTGTCTCCACCGCCCTATTGAGTCCCTATATGGGCCGGTTTCGAACTGAAGGAGTCGAACCCCGACGGTTGGACTCTTCCAGTTGGGTACCCCGAGGTGGATGTGTCACCGATTTTCAGTCACTTCACCTCTCCCAACAAAAAAAGGTATCCAGTGACCGGGACCATGGGACCGTAATGGGGTACCTATGGAATAGTCTATAGGGCTCTTCAACCTCTGTTGGTGTTGCTGGTTCTCTTCCCTTCATCTTCACCACCCGGGCGGATCCCAGGTGCTCCGGCTGAGGAGGTCGAGGTAGACGAGGCCGGAGGGAGGAGGTCAATGGTGATCTCAAGATCACACTGGGTCAAGGCCAGTACGGCTGGCGGACTGGTTTGGTCGAACGTAAGTGAAACCTTCCCCGCCTCCTGTGGTCCTGTAGAGCAGCTGAACTCCTGGACCAGTCAAACGCACTGTCAGGAGCTCACTCAGGAGCACCTTGGAGTCGAGATGTTTTCGCTGGGGGGAGGTCTTGGGGGCCGGGCCGCCTTCCGAAGCTCTTCGATTGATAAGAATGTTACTGGGGCCTCGCTTTAAGTCGTATCAGCTAGAGGACTGTCATATCAAAATGGTGTACCCTTGGGCACTTGTCTACGGATGTTTATTGTTGCTATGTCATGTGTGTGCTGTGAACTGATGTTAATGTACTGTGCCCATGCGGTGCTCGAACCTTTGTTGCATCGGTCTCAGTGATAGCAGATCCTTGGTGCAAAGGAGCTGTTTAGCACTACTAGATGTCAGTGGAACATTGTGGTGGCCATTGGATGTACAGATTGTATTTGCAGTTGCTTTGGTAAAGAGGGAGCAGTGATTGAACCGCTTTCTTCAGCCATCCTTGTTTTGGACGAGACCATGACGCATCCTGTGGTGCCAATGGTGTTGGGCTGCTCGTGTGCTGCTTGTGTGCTGCTGCTTCTGCTTCCGCAGAGGAGTTGGAATGATATGAGTTGATTTGATACAAACCCCAATTCGGCCATTCGCCTTGGGGTTTGCAATTCGGTAAGCATCGCGTAAGCAATTGTTACTTCCCCATTTGCTGATTCTGGCAGTCGGAAAGCATCAGCAATCACCTTGTAAACAGGAACCTGATGTGACCCTGATGTGACTGAAGTTGATGACAGAGACTTCCTGCATCAGGAGATGAGCAGTATCTTTGCAAATGTGCATGTGATGGATTTACCCATCAGGGTTTACATGACATAGATCATAGATCTTACAAAACTTATATACTCAGGAAATCTCAGGAATAGCACGTTCCGAACTATAGGCAAGGATTTTGCAAACTTTCTTCTTTGTAAAGACCTGCTTGGGCGTCGCTGTGCCATTAGGGTTTCCATTCTTTCCACCTGATGTGACTTCCTTCCAATGCGGTGTGCTACGCAGTGATGTGACTTTTCGCCAACTGATGTGGCTCAAACTCAGCGCTTGCATTAAATCATTATATACTACTACTCTTATCGACTATTGTTTGCATTATGTATTGTTATGTGTTGCTAAAATTGTCTGAATGTTTGTTTTCCGAGATAAAAACCCTGCCTCCAGCCATTGTATAAGCTTATACGGACCATTATAATCTGACACAGCGACCCTGGTGTTTGGAGCCTAAGGGGTGGTTTAAAAACACACCCGTACCACCGGTTAGTCATCCTTAGGGTGGTATCTGGGGGTTTGGAAGTGGATTTTTTTCAAAGGGTGGATTTCTACCTTCGATAGCAGAATGTAGTGATTTGCTAGCTTTGAGCAGTCCATGGACAAGAGT